CTCTGAACTTGATGTCTCAGAAAATGATACTTGGTCTCAATATGCTTGCTTCTCCCATGCAGCACTGGGTTTCTGGCAAGGTTGATTGCAGACTTGTTGTCAATCATCAACTTCAGAGGTTTGTCTACCTTAATCTTCAGATCCTGCAACAGATTCAGAATCCACACAGCTTGGCATGCAGTAACAGCACCTGCAATGTATTCAGCTTCACAGGTTGACAACGCCACAACAGGTTGCTTCTTGGAACACCAAGAAATGGGACCTCCCAGAAATTTGAACAAGTACCCAGATGTACTTCTTCTGTCAACTCTGTCTCCACACCAATCAGAGTCTGAATAACTCAGAAGTTCTGACTCATTATTTCCTCCAGAGGGAAATAACACTCCATACTTCAGAGTTCCTTTGATATACCTCAGAATCCTGACAGCAGCTTGGTAATGGGACCACTTAGGTTTACTCATGAACCTACTAACCATCCCAACTGAATAGCAAATATCAGGTCTGGTATTGCACAGATACCTCAGAGAACCAACCAACTGTTTGAAGGTTGTAGCATCCACATCCTTTCCTTCAGAGTCTGAATCCAGTTTCTGATTTGTATCAGAAGGTGTGACAGCCATCTTACAATTCTTCAGATCAAATCTCTTCAGAAGTTCTAATTCATACTTGAGCTGATGCAAAATGATACCTTTCTCAGAATATCTGAACTCCATCCCTAGAAAGTATGTCATTTTGCCTAGATCAGTCATTTCAAATTCATTCATTAGAACCTTCTTGAACTTGGCTATCTCCTGTTCAGAACTTCCAGTCAATAGTATATCATCAACATATAAACATACCAGAGTCATATTGCCTTCAGAAGTATGTTGAACATAGACACCGTACTCCATCTCACATTTCTGAAAGCCTTGCTTCTTGAAAAATGAATCAATCTTCTGATTCCAAGCTCTGGGCGCTTGTTTCAATCCATATAGAGCTTTGTATAATCTGTACACCATCCCTTCCTGATTCTTTTTCACAAATCCAGGAGGTTGTGACACGTAAACTTCTTCTTCTAATGGACCATTCAGAAATGCAGATTTTACATCTAAATGCATCAGAGGCCAATTCCTGTTAGCAGCTATTGCAATCACCATTCTGATTGTTTCATGTCTTGCTACAGGTGCAAACACTTCAGAATAATCCAGCCCAGGTTTCTGTAGAAATCCTCTGGCTACCAACCTTGCTTTATGTTTGCCAATTGAACCATCTGGCTTTAACTTCTGCTTGAAAACCCATCTGACGCTGATGGCTTTCTTGTCTTTTGGAAGTTCTGTCAGCTTCCAAGTCTTGTTTCTCTCTATAGCATCAAGTTCTTCTTTCATGGCCTTCAGCCAGAGCTTCTGCTTAAGAGCCTCCTCTGTACTTATAGGTTCAGAGTCTACTAACATGGCACACTGAATAACTTCTCCTTCAGAGTCTACTTCAGTGTCTTGCAGCATGTCAAATTCTGCAAATCTTCTGGGAACGCTTCTGATTCTTTGTGGTCTCTGAACTTGTTCAGAGTCTTGAGCTTCAGAGTTTCTAGCTTCAGATGATTGACCTCCAGAGCTTTGACCATCTTCAGAGTCTGGCATATTTCCAGAGTCTGAATTGCCACCAAGATCTGGATTGCCATCAGAGTCTGAATCATCAGAGTCTGGGTCATCAGAGTCACCTTCATCTTCTGAGTCTTCTTCAGAGTTTGAATCAGTATCAGAGTCAGAGTCAATATCAGGGTTTACTTCAACTTCAGAAATTCTTAACTCTGGCCTTTCTTCAGAGGTTCTAACATCAGAATCAGATTGAGACTTATCCCAATTCCAAACTTCTGATTCCTTCACAATCACATCTCTGCTGAATTCAATTTTATTGGTTTCTGGACAATAGAGCTTGTATGCACCTGTACTGTGGTACCCTATCAGAATCATCACTTTGCTTCTATCATCCAGCTTCTGTCTTCTGGCTTCTGGAACATGTTTATAGCAAACAGAACCAAATACCTTCAGATGACTAACACTTTGCTTGTCTCCAGTCCACTTCTGCATAGGAACTATTTCCTTCAACTTCTTCGTAGGACATCTGTTGAGTACATACGTTGCAGTGGCAACAGCTTCTCCCCAGAGCTTCTGAGGAAGCTTCTTCTCCTTTAGCATGCTTCTCACCATATCAAGCAAAGTACGGTTTCTTCTTTCAGCAAGACCATTGTGTTGAGGGGTATAAGGAGCAGTAACCTCATGCTCAATTCCATTCTCCTCACAGAACTTCTGGAACTCTTTGGAGTTATACTCACCTCCACCATCAGTTCTAAGAATCTTCAACTTCAGACCACTCTGATTCTCAGCCTTCATTCTGAACTTCTTGAATTCATCAAACACCTCGTGTTTGAACTTAATAAGGGATACCCATGTCATTCTTGTGAATTCATCAACAAACAACACAAAGTATTTATTCCCTCCAATTGATGCTACTGGAAATGGACCACACACATCAGAGTGTACAACTCCCAAGGCATGTTTTGCTCTTGGAGCAACTTCTGATGCAAATGGCAATCTTGGTTGTTTTCCTTCCATGCAAACTTTGCATGACTTTTCAGGCTTCTTAATTGCAGGAATTCCATGTACCAATTTCTTTGAATTCAGATGTTGTAAGCTTCTGAAATTCAAATGACCAAATCTTCTGTGCCACAGCTCACTCTCCTTCTCAGTACTTGTTGCACTAAGACACTCTGAGTCTGCAGTTCTGACATTCACCTTGAATGTTCTATTCCTTCCCTGTTCTGACTCCATAATCAACTTCTGATTACAGTCATACAGCTTCAGAAGATTGTCCTTCATGGTAACTGAGAAACCTTTCTCAATTAATTGCCCCACACTCATCAGATTGCTTCTGATGCCAGGTACATACCACACATTCTGAATCAATGCTATTTTCCCATTGTTCAGAGTCACTCTGACATTTCCCATACCTTCTGCATTAAGATATTTGTCATCAGCACATCTGATCTTTGTTCTCTTTTCAGAGTCAAAGTCAACCAGCCATTTCTTGTTTCCAGTAAGATGATTTGAACAGCCAGTGTCCATATACCACCAGTCTGTCAGATCATCAGATTCAGAGGCCATCAATAGCACAGATTCGTCATCAGAACTTCTGGCTATATTTGCTTCTTCTGATTTCTTCTCCTTGTTTGACCAACAATCTCTAGCAAAGTGACCAAACTTCTTACAACAGTAACATTGGATCTTCTTCTTGTCATACTTCTCTTTTCCCTTCTGAGCATTCTTTTGTCTATCAGAGGTTGAGGTTTCTGACTTCTGACCACCATCAGATCTTCTCCTGGCTTCTGACTGCTTCTGATACCTCCTATCAGAAGTTGCTTTCAGAGCCTGCTGTTCTACTTCCTTTTCAGAGTTTCTCTCAGTCAGACGCAACTCTTGCGCTTCTAGACTGCTCTGCAGCTCTTCAATTCTCATTGTGCTCAGATCTTTGGAATGTTCTATTGCTACCACAATGTAATCAAATTGAGGAGTAAGGGATCTCAACACTTTCTCCATGATTGTTTCTTCAGAAAGAGTTTCTCCACATGCCTTCATCTCATTAGTGATCAGAATCACTCTGGAGATGTATTCAGAAACTTTCTCATTATTCTTCATGTTGAGATTCTCATATTGCTTTCTCAAGGACTGAAGCTTCACCTTCTTCACTGATGCGTCACCACCATAACATCTCACCAGAGTGTCCCATGCAGCCTTTGCTGTTGTAGAGTCTGCAATCTTCTCAAACACGTTTACATCCACACATTGATGAATGAAGAACAATGCTTTCTGATCCTTCTTCCTTACTTCTTTCTGCGCATTTTTCTGTTCATCAGTTGCATCTGCTGCTACTGGAACATAACCATCAGTGACAAGATCCAGAACATCTTGAGCACCAAACAGTACACGCATCTGGATCATCCAACGATTCCAGTTTTTACCATCAAATACTGGAAGTTTGGTGTTCATGTTGCCGTTTCCGTTCATCTTCTACTTTGCACAATACACTCAGAGTTTTCTCACACAGTGTTTCCCAACCCACAGAATTTAAAAAATTCTGATCAGATTTTGTTCAAGATTCAACAAGAATCTGAGAAACAAAATCAAACACACAAGACCTCACGTTCACTCGTGTTTCCCGTGTTTCCCAATGAATCTGAACCGGAGCTCTAGATACCAATTGTTGGTGCAAAGATAGAATAAATGATGAAATAGGAAATATTACTAATAAGAGAATGACGGCTACAAAACATGACATTTGTTACAATGATTGTCACCCTATTTATAAGCTAAAACTAGGGTTACTAGAATAAGATAAATACTAAAATACCCTCTAACAAACTTAGGGGCCAAGAAAATAGTACAACTAAATAAATATGAATTATTAATAATATTCTAATAATATTTGAATAGACTTTCATGTATCTACAGACTCAAGTTGCATTCAACACAAGGAACATATTGTTTATTATTATCATTATATTATAAATTAAAGCCACTTTGCCTAATTTTCTTATTTAAATAATTAGAAAACCAAGTACGACAATTCTTCCAACACATACTACATTGTCATACTCTTCAACTACTATATAAGAAATATTAATCTTGATAACAGATTTAGATTTCTCACACCTAAACCTTTCAATTTTCTTTGGGCATTGACACATAGTTCCAAAACTCTTAAATGAGTTGAAGATAATCCTAGGAACAAAGAGAGAAAACAAAAACAAGAGGGGAAGAAGTTTAGCTTCAAACCAATTTTCTTCCTCTTCAACAAAGTATTCAAGTATATTCAAGTAAGTCTATACTTTTTGTTTTTTTATACGAATCTAAACGATAAGGACTGAATCTCAGTAGATCGTGGTAGCAACAGAACTATAATTTTGTTATGTTAATTTTCTTCTAGATTGATTTCAACTAATTATTTTTTCCGGAAGGTAAGCGAAAATGGATAGTAATTTAAGTAGAAGTATAAGTCGGAGTTTGAGTAGATCAAGTTGGAAAATGGAAGAAGTATTTGCTAGTGGAAGATATTCAAGAAGAACTTCCCAAGTTGATGAAGATGAAGAAGCACTTAAATGGGCTGCAATTGAGAAATTACCAACCTATGATAGGTTGAGAACAAGTATTATGCAAACATTTACGGAAGAACCTCAACAAGGAAACAGGATGCAACACAAAGAGGTTGATGTTAGGAAGCTTGATATGAATGAAAGACAACAAATTATTGACCAAATTTTCAAGGTTGCTGAAGAAGATAATGAAAAGTATCTCAAGAAATTCAGAAACAGAATTGAAAAGTAAGTTTCATTCTTTTATTTATTTTTTCACATGGCTTGTTCCTTTGACATTGAAACAATAATTTGTACCGTCACTGTAGCCATATGATCTAGGACGTTGAATTCAAATCAGACTACTCATATTTAATTCAATCGGTAGATATATTAATGCTATTAATTGATTGAATTTCTATGAATAATATTACAAAAAAAAAATTTAATCGTTTAATGTTTTTATTACAAATATTATTTCAATTTTTACCCATCTTTTTTAAAAGTTTCTCCACAATTTAATTCAATTCAATTTGACTCTGCCATAGGGGTCCTTACTCTGTGCATGAACATTATTACAGATTACTTTAATTCATTTAGAACATTTTTTTAAGGTATACTTTGACTTTGCTAAACAAAATAGACAAGTAATTAAAGCTATTAAATTTGATCTGTAGATGTATTAGTACTATTAATTGATTCAATTTAATTTTACTTACAAAAATTTATAAACATTTTGCAGGGTTGGAATAAGACTTCCAACAGTAGAAGTGCGGTTTAAGAATTTAACAGTTGAAGCAGATTCTTATGTTGGAAGCAGAGCTTTACCAACATTACCAAATGTTGCATTAAACATTGTTGAATCTGCTCTTGGAATGTTTGGAATTAATACAGCTAAAAGAACCAAACTCACCATTCTTAAAAATGCTTCTGGCATTATTAAACCATCAAGGTAATTTCATCATTCTTGCGTCTCTGCGATCAGATGTTTCTGCAACTATCAACTGAGTTGGATTAACAGAATCATCTGATGTATGTGTCTAAGCTACCTACGGAGTTGGTATAACTTAACACTTTTGTTTGTATATAGGATGGCCCTATTACTTGGTCCCCCTTCATCAGGTAAAACAACCCTATTGCTGGCATTGGCTGGAAAATTGGATGCTGAATTGAGGGTACATTCCAACCTAATAAATTTTATTTAATTACAAATTTGACTTTTATTAAATATAATTAATGTTAATTAAGGAACAATTTAACTTTTTTTTAATGAAACAGGTGAAAGGAGAAATTACTTACAATGGACACAAACTTAATGAATTTGTGCCAAGAAAAACTTCAGCATACATCAGTCAAAATGATGTTCATGTTGGAGAAATGACTGTTAAAGAAACATTGGATTTCTCAGCTAGATGTCAAGGAGTTGGAACAAGATACGGTAATTTAAAAATAATCTCCCAAAATTAAAATTTCATTTTTTATTTTTTAGAATTTTTTCTATAAATAATTTACTAACAATTTTATTTTTATTTTAATTAATGTTATTAAAGATCTATTAAGTGAGCTTGCCAGAAGGGAAAAGGAAGCTGGTATATTTCCTGAAGCAGAACTTGACCTTTTCATGAAGGTACTTTCATTATTATTATTGTTATTATTATTATTATTACTATTATTATTAAATAAAATAAATAATTATTAAGTAATTCAATTATTGTTATGGATTGTAGGCTACTGCAGTGAAAGGAACAGAAAGTAGTCTCATTACTGATTATACTTTAAAAGTAAGTTTATTTTTCTTCCAACATTTATGTTTCACTTAAAATGAGTGGGAATAATCAAATTACAACTAATGACTTTTTTAGAAAAGTTAGATTTTTAAACTACTCCCACCAGCCAAATTTTGTCTTTTTTATCAAAAAGACTTAGTCACTAAGAAAAAAGTATATTACCTTTGCATATATTTTCCATTCACCTACCCCACATTGCGACTCTTTTTAACATATTATTGTTACAGTAGGCCCACCAAAATAATCAATTGTACTATCCAAATTTGTCAGAATGTTTATAACTACTGGATTCAGATCAGACGGTTTAAATCATCTGATCATAATCAAACAGTCATCATCGATATTCCGACTATCTGTATAATTGAACACTTGAACAAATTTAAATTTATAAACTAGCATAATAGTTTGGTTCATTTGCAAGTAACATGATTATTGCTAATTATTATGATTAATGGTTTGATTATGATTTAACAAATCTTAATTATTTATTGTGTTATGAAACAGATATTAGGGCTTGATATTTGTAAGGACACCATAGTGGGAGATGAGATGCATAGAGGTGTATCTGGTGGCCAAAAGAAACGTGTTACAACAGGTTAGTTAGAACGTCACAAAATCATATAGATATATCATATATCTATATATCTATTATGGTCACATTTGTCTGCATTAATACTATTCAAATTCAACGCTTGTCCTTATGTTTGAAATTATTGATAAACAATAGAACGTGCATGCAAGTTGTTAACTAGATTCCCATTTACTCAACTTTCCTATATATTTACTTACATTTTTTCTAGAGATTTAGAAAATAAGTGCCACGTGGGCCCCATGTACTCAATCATATGATAAATCCTTCAATAATTGATATATTTATTTCGTATAAAGATCCGATATATCTGCTATTCAATAAGTTTGATAATACGATGAGATTAGAAGATTAAAAATTATGATTATATTGTTTTTTTTATAGGTGAAATGATTGTTGGGCCCACAAAAACACTATTCATGGATGAAATATCAACTGGTTTAGATAGTTCAACAACATTTCAAATTGTGAAATGTTTGCAACAAATTGTTCACCTAAGTGAAGGGACAATCTTAATGTCACTTCTCCAACCGGCTCCTGAGACGTTCGATCTTTTCGATGACATTATTTTGATATCCGAGGGTCAAGTCGTGTACCAAGGTCCACGTGATCACATTGTCGAATTCTTTGAATCGTGTGGCTTTCGTTGCCCCGAAAGAAAAGGAACCGCTGATTTCTTGCAAGAGGTACTATCATCATAAAGACTACCTTAATAACGGTGCACCCTCACACACCTTAACAAAAATGTTACACTTTGCTCAAAGAATTAGACTATGCAGCTGTGCGCAGAGGATATCCGATTTATACTAAACAAAATCTTTAAAAATATTTATTATAATTATCTTTAAAATCATGTTCGTAAATAAATGTTTCATGATAGTTAAACTCGAAATTATGAACAGGTTACGTCGAGAAAAGACCAAGAACAATATTGGGCAGACAAAAACAGACCATACAGATATGTTTCGGTAACAGAATTTGCAAACAAATTCAAACAATTCCATGTTGGCATCCTTCTCGATCAAGAATTATCTGTTTCATTCGACAAATCAAGTGCGCACAAAGCGGCTCTTGTTTATAGCAAAAACTCAGTTCCAACAATGGACATTCTTAAAGCATGTTGGGACAAAGAATGGCTTCTCATCAAAAGAAACTCATTCGTCTACATATTCAAAACCGCGCAAATTTGCATCATTGCAATCATAGCAGCAACTGTTTTCTTGAGAACTGAAATGAAGAGAAATAATGAAGATGATGCTGCACTTTACATTGGTGCAATTTTGTTCTCCATGATTATGAACATGTTCAATGGTTTCGCCGAACTTGCTCTTACGATTCAAAGACTTCCCGTGTTTTATAAACATAGGGATCATCTTTTCCATCCTGCTTGGACTTACACGCTCCCGAATTTTCTGTTGCGTCTTCCAATTTCGTTGTTTGAGTCTCTTGCTTGGATGATTGTTACCTATTACACCATTGGATTCGCTCCTGAAGCCAGCAGGTAAGTTCAAATAATAAAGAAACTTCGAAAAATAATTAGTTTATGGCTTTTGAACTTCTCGTAATTTTCGTGCTTGTTTGAATTTATAGGTTCTTCAAGCAACTGTTGTTGGTGTTCCTTATTCAACAAATGGCAGCTGGAATGTTTAGATTCATTGCTGGAACATGTAGGACGATGATTATTGCAAACACGGGTGGAGCTCTTATGCTTCTTGTTGTTTTTCTACTCGGTGGTTTCATCATTCCGAAACGTGAGTGATCGTAATTCAAACCTCTTTTAAGTAAAAAGCATTTGAAAAGTGCTTCTGAAGTTACATTATTAAAGCTTAATTATTGATTCCAGGTGAAATTCCTAACTGGTGGATGTGGGCTAATTGGGTTTCACCATTGTCATATGCTTTCCATTCTTTGACTGTCAATGAAATGTATGCTCCAAGGTGGATGCATCCAGGGGTAAGTAAATATCACAACATAAACATTTGAAAAGTGCTTTTTAAAGTTAGTTTTTGACTTGAAATTCTCCTCTATTGCAGAGTTCATCAGATAATACTACAACATTGGGTTTAGCTGTGATGAAGAATTTTGATGTTTATGCCAACCCAAATTGGTATTGGATAGGTGCCGGAGCTCTTGCTGCTTTCACGGTTTTTTACAATGTTCTCTTCACTCTTTCACTTATGTATCTAAGTCCTCTCGGAAATAAACAAGCGATTCTATCTGAGGAAGATGCGAGTGAAATGGAGAATGAAGGAGATGTTAACGAACCGAGACTCGTGAGGCCGCCTTCCACCAGAGATCCGATGCATCGATCATTGTCAAAAGCTGATGGAAATAACTCAAGTAAGTTTCGAAGCACACAAATTAGGCCTTGTTTGGATAAACAACTTTGCTAAGCACTTATTTCATAATTGCTTACAAAATAAAGTCAAACTACTTTTATCTAGCTATATCATACCTGGTTATGTCAGTAGATAAGTTCAAATAAGTTAATCAAAACGGAATTCTGGTCTCTGATCATGCTTGATTTGTGCATGAATTACTTTAGGAGAAGTGGCAATGCAAAGAATGAGTAGCCAAGCTAGTCCAAATGGATTAAGAAATGCCGAGACCGACGCTGGAAATGCGCCAAGAAGAGGAATGATTCTACCTTTTCAACCACTTGCAATGTCCTTTGACAGTGTTAACTACTTTGTAGACATGCCTGCAGTAAGTATTACATAATCAACGATTCACGAGATACTAATGATTGCGATTCTAACTTTGACTATATGACTTTCGACAGGAAATGAAAGAGCAAGGAGTGACAGAAGATCGGTTACAATTGCTTAGGGAAGTCACTGGTTCTTTTAGGCCTGGAGTTCTTACTGCACTAATGGGAGTTAGTGGCGCGGGAAAGACAACTTTAATGGATGTTTTAGCTGGAAGAAAAACCGGTGGCTACATCGAAGGAGACGTTAGAATCTCTGGATTCCCTAAGAACCAAGAAACCTTTGCAAGAGTTTCTGGTTACTGTGAACAAACTGATATTCATTCCCCTCAAGTTACGATCAGAGAATCTTTGCTTTACTCGGCTTTCCTTCGGTTACCTAAGGAAGTTGGTGATGAAGAAAAGATAGTAAGTGTTCAAACCTATATCTTTTAATTTTACATCGACATTCAATAAGAATCGAGCATTTTGCATATGTAGCAGAAGGATTCGAATTAACAAATTTTGAATTAATTGATGTTTTCAGCAATTTGTGGAGCAAGTGATGGATTTGGTAGAGCTGCAAAGTCTCAAGGATGCTATTGTGGGGCTACCGGGAGTGACAGGGTTGTCAACCGAACAAAGAAAGAGGCTAACAATCGCAGTCGAGCTTGTTGCTAATCCTTCGATTATTTTCATGGATGAACCAACTTCAGGTCTAGATGCAAGAGCAGCAGCTATTGTTATGAGGACTGTAAGAAACACTGTCGACACTGGAAGAACAGTTGTTTGCACAATTCACCAACCTAGCATTGATATCTTTGAAGCTTTTGATGAGGTATATAAACCAACCTATAATTAACCATCTTCTCATTAGTTTTTCGTATCGGTTTTCTTTTGAACTAGGAATGTTGTTCTAACAATCTCCTTTTGTTCCAGCTCATATTGATGAAAAGAGGAGGGCAACTGATCTATGGAGGACCTTTAGGTCGGAATTCACACAAGATTATCGAATACTTCGAGGTATTACAACCGATTGAGATTATATCTTTTCACCATGCGGTTTTTTAACATGTTGTTCTAGTTTCATGCTAACCCTTTTGTTACAGGCTATTCAAGGTGTCCCGAAAATCAAGGACATGTATAATCCTGCAACATGGATGCTCGAAGTTAGTTCCATAGCAGCTGAAGTCCGGCTTGGAATGGACTTTGCCGAATATTACAAGTCATCATCGTTGTTTCAGTAAGTAAACATACAACTATTTTACAACCGTTCATAAAGAGATTCGAACTCCGTTGAGTTGACTTAAGCTAACAAGTGTTCTTATTGAGCAGGAGAAGCAAAGCTCTTGTAAAGGAATTAAGTACACCTCCACCAGGAACAAGTGATTTGTTTTTCCCTACTAAGTACTCTCAATCAACATATGGACAATTCAAATCTTGTCTTTGGAAGCAATGGTTGACATATTGGAGAAGTCCAGATTACAATCTGGTCAGATATTTTTTCACCTTGGCTTGTGCACTCATGATTGGGACAGTATTTTGGAAAGTCGGCAAAAACAAGTGAGAAACCGGTTCATTTGAATTGAAATTTAACTTAAGTACTTTATTTTTCAAGCATTATTATTAGTTCTGAATTTCTGCTAATTTCTTTCTTATTTTCTTTGTTTAGGGAGAGTTCGAGCGACCTGACGTTGATTATAGGATCGATGTATGCTGCAGTTGTTTTTGTCGGAATTAACAATTGTCAAACAGTTCAACCAATCGTAGCCGTTGAAAGAACGGTGTTCTATAGAGAAAGAGCTGCCGGAATGTATGCTCCTTTGCCTTATGCCATATCACAGGTCAGAATAACTTCTCCTGCAAGTTACTTGTTAAGGTTGTTGTCATTTCCTTGTGAATGTTATCTTATGGTACATGCTACTTCATTTTGAATTGCAGGTTTTCATAGAAATACCATTTGTGCTATTTCAAACCCTATATTACTCCATCATAGTGTATGCTATGGTGAGTTTTCAATGGAAAGCCGAAAAGTTCTTCTGGTTCGTCTTCGTCAGCTTCTTCTCCTTCTTGTACTTCACCTACTACGGAATGATGACTGTTTCCATCACACCAAACCATCAAGTTGCATCAATCTTCGCAGCAGCATTCTATGGAGTCTTTAACCTCTTCTCTGGCTTCTTCATCCCAAGACCAGTGAGCACCAATCTAGTTTTCTTATTTTATCAAATCCTATGATGTTTTACTAACATTATTTCGAACCAATTTTTGCGATTTCAGAAAATTCCAGGATGGTGGGTATGGTACTATTGGATTTGTCCAGTGGCATGGACAGTGTATGGATTAATTGTATCTCAATATAGAGACATAGAAGATCCTATCCGCGTGCTTGGATCTCCTAATCGGAACTTCACAGTCAAAGAATATATTGAAGACCATTACGGATTCAAATCTGATTTCATGGGTCCGGTTGCGGCAGTTTTGATTGCTTTCCCTTGTTTCTTTGCCTTTATATTTGCCTTCTGCATCAAGGCACTCAACTTTCAATCAAGATAAATCAAGTCATGTTGCTGCAAAATAGTACATTACAGTCCATGTGATTTATGCAGAATGTTTTATATTACTTAAATTTGTTAACAGAGAGTTGTGTTGTAAGTGTAAATCTTGTTGATCATGCTACTTGTTTGCTACTTAGAAGAAATTTGGTGTTTCATTTCATCGGTTCTTGTATAAATGTTTATTGTCATAAATAAATAAAAATTTATTCATTTGCCTAAATTTTTATGGATTACAATTAGTTTAAAAATAGTGTATTGATAAATATCAATTACTCACTACACACTAGTATCATATACTAAGAAAATTGTGTAGTCATATCAATAACTAAAGCGCTTGATCAATTGGTATTTGGTAGCATTCATTTGTAATAAGTGTATATTGTATCAAATTGTTTAGACTACTTGGACTGTTTTCCACTTAAAACTCTCAAATCATCTCACAGTTTACAATATCATTAGCTCGATATAGAGGTGTTTGTGGTGCGGTTTAGACACTAAAAATCATTTGAATCGTAAGAGAAGATAACGTGCAAATCAATTTGGTTCGATTGATTTTGAAAAATCAAACTAAATCAATGTGGTTTGAATTAGTTCGATTGGTTCGATTTTTTACATTATTTTTATTAAGGCAAACATACACATATAAAATATGTGAACAACATAATTTTGTATTTAGTAATTCATATATTACTAATTTGATAAAAATAACATTATAGTTTATGTATTTTATATATAAAGAATGCAAAAATAATTAAAATTAAAACTTTTATTTTAACCTTATTCTTATTGATGTCAACAAATTGAAAAGGAAAACAAAAATAAATATATATCATTTCATTTTAAATAATAATAATAATACTATTTATCAAAAATAATATTTTGTGTTTTTATAGGTTAATTAAAATAAATATTATGTGAAGAATATAATAAAATATACCAGTGGTTGATTTTTCAAAAAAAAATTCTAAAATATTAATAAATATATAATGGTCACTAAAATCTTATACCGCAATTTGATTTAGTTTATAAAATACAAACTACAAATTGAACTAAATTACGCGACTTTGGTTGAAAATGACTCAAATCTATCTAAATCGAATGTGATTTTAATATGAGCATCATTGATAAACTTTGGTATGAATTTTTCTGATATCTATAAATTTACAGTGAGACATGCTTTCAGAAATATAAGAACTTTATGATAAAGAAAACCACATAAATGTAATGTATCAATACAATAAAATTCATACCAATTAGATTAACAAGCAGGAAATTGAAATAATACCAGTTCCTAGCCCATGACCTATATCAACATCTCCTTTTAAAAACTAATCTAAACATACAATAATAACAAATAGAATAAAATTATATTTGACTTTTATCATAGTACGAAATCTATAATTTTTCAGCATGGTATTTGCATAAACATCAATAACTAAAAACTTGAACCAAAACGTGAATGACTATAAACATGTAAATAAGTCATGTAAACAATGTTAGGGGAGATTTCCACTAGAGAACATTGAACATTGTGAGACTTTTTTTATAGCAACATCTTTGTGAGAGACACGTCACAACTCACTCAAAACCTTAAAGTAAGGGGAGATTTCCACTTATAAATACTCAAGTCACCACATTTCTATCCAATGTGATACTATTATCCACACTACTCACACTTGTTATACTTAACACTCCCCCTAAAGTGTGAGTCTATCCACACTGCTTTCACAATTTCCTCTTAAGCGGAAGCTTCAACTGTGCAACTGCACTTTCTGTTGTGTGTTTCTTGCTCACCACTCTTGTACCATCGTTGACACTCTTCAACGGGACACCTCCTAGCCACCACTTATGGAGAGTATTTTTGATTTAAGTGAGTCTTTCACTCGAACCAAAGGCTCATGATACCACTGTTAGGGGAGATTTTCACTATGGAGCATTAAAGATTGTGGGACTTTTTTTAGAGTAACACCTTTGTGAGAGACACGCCACATACTCACCCAAAACCTTAAAATGATAGGTGTGTCGGTTCTGCCACTTATAAATGTTCAACTCACCACATTCCTATCCAATATGGGACTTTTATCCACACTACTCACACTTGTTATACTTAACAAACAAGTGGTTGTGTGACTCAACCAATCCACAAAAATCAATATGCCATGAACAACAATAAAAAACTCAGCGCATGTAAATGAAAGAAAATAACAAACCAAAACCGATGACGGCCACGCGTGATGAATACAAGGTGACGACGGTACTGAGCAAAAATGTGGTGTTGATTGCGTGTCGTTGCAGATGGATTGTGGTGAAAAATCTAAGTTGTGAAGGTATTGTGTCGTTGTTGTTTGTGTTGTTGTGATTAGAGAAGGAACGTCATGATCCGTTGTGTATTGCATAAGGTGTGGTGTGTGGCTTCAAGGTGATCGGAAATGAGATGGTTGTTGAAGTGGAAAAGGTTATTTCACGGTGGTACAAGGGTTTGGTTCGAACGGATGAAGTGGTTGTTACGGTTTGGTGGTGGTTAAGTGTGATGCAACGCGGCGGTTTCATGGTCAAACGGTGAGATTTATGATGGCGTCACAGTTTGTTGTTTAGATGGAGAGATGAGTTTATGAAGTTGAGTTAGGATGAGAATAGTTGCAAGATGTGAGAAGGGATGTAGTATGTGTAGTGAAGGGATAGAGTATGGTAATAGTTGCAAGATGTGGGAAGGAATGAAGTATGTAAAGTGATGGTGTCACTGTTTGTTGTTTATAGTGAGTGGCAACTTAAATTTACATGTCTGCAAAAAAAATACACATTTGGCATGACATGTAGGCCTCCATTAGTGGAAACTAACAAGAGGGAACAATTTTAAGGACGGAAAAGATTGTGAGGATCATTGTTTGAAGAAAATTTTTAGAGGAACTAAAATTGAATGTTAGTATATTTATAGGGATTAAAAACATATTTAACCCTAAAAATAATAATAAATAAGAATTTAACAAAACCCGACCCAGATCCAAGTTCGTTAAGAAAATTAGAGTTTTTTTAAACCAAAAAAAAAAAAAACAGATGTTTCATGTGTCGCATCTCAATGAAAACAAGTCAGAGAATCAACTCAGACAAGTACACCGAGTTTGTTACATACAATCTTACCTGAATCATAGCACATCGGCATGGCATGCCATTGGAACGTTGGATCGGACGATTTAGCAAGTTGACTCGGGATCCTGCATACATTGGTGTCAACCACAATACGGATACTATTCAGGTCAATGTAGCATCAATTTGGCTGATGCTAATGGCTTTGATTTTTTATATGAATGTGTAGAAAATTTGCAGATTAAACTTGAATGTCCTAATCATAAGTGCCAGAACATAATGTCATTATTAGAAGAGACAAATAAATTCGATGCATATATACTTCTAACAGCCACGGCAACTGTCGTCGCTGCTAAAGGGAAATAGAAACAAGCAGAACAAATTAGGAACATATTTATCTGTATATACATAACACATCCCTTGATAGAATAGGATAGGGAAGTCATGTACTTTTGTCTCCCTTTAGTGGAGTCCTATATTCACTAAGAATAAAATACACAAACTAGAATGAAACTGGTACTGCATGTCTTATTTCAACATTTTGATAAATGACATAACCTGTTTCCTCAGCTTCATCCAAACGCCAAAACAGGTTGATTAAACACGACTCAGGATCGTTCATATCTTTTGACTCGGCTACTAGTCGAGTTACGCCAACACAACCAGGGATGGACAATAAATTTGCATGAATCACAAACTAATGTATCACAATTTTTGAGTAAAGCATGCTTATTACTCATCTTGCTGATTGTGATTGAAACCCGGGAAGCGCTTGCAAAGGTCCATTGGGAACAATAGATTACCATTCTGGTTTAAAAGATCTTACAACCTTTTGTTTTAATTCTTATTTTTTTCTCCATTTCCACTTCTAGGAACAGAACCATCCTTCCCAGAGGGTACTCCCAAAGCATGAGCAAACATTCTCTTCGCAGCTCCTAAGTGCTCTTTTTTCATGTGCTCTTTGCTCACACTTGGCCGTTGTTTCCCGTCTTGAGACAATTGCAGCAAATTTTTGTTGACTGGTGTTTGATCATTCCTTTTATTCGGTGAGGTTGCACTGGAAGTAGAACTGCTACTGTTTCTTGTTATGATGTTTCTTCTCAATAAAGACACTTCAGAATCTTTGGTATTATCGGACTTTTCTTGAGCATTTAATTCATCTGGGAGAACTCTATCCTTCGTACCATCACTAACCAACTCATTCGGATTCTTTGTAATTCTTTGACCTAATGCATGCGCAATCATTCGACGGGCAACCACTGGCACGCTTCGTGGTTTTTGTTCATCAGGCTCTTTTGCATCTCCCAAACTCATAGAAAAAATCCGCTCACGCGCAGCTAAATAAGCCGCTTTTCTTTCCTCCAGTGTCTGCTGAATGGATGTCGTATTTGTCTGCAATACTGAAAATGCAGCACAAATTAAGGCCCACAAAAAAGTGCAACTATCCACTTCAATTAAAAAAAACAAGCAGTTTACAGAGGGTTTTATTTAATTCTATATGAGAATTCTAGTTCTCTCCCTTCTATTAAAAATGATTTTCTTAAAAGCTAATCACAATTAGCTATTTCATTTTCAACATAAAAATCATTTTTCAAGAAAATGATTTTTGAGAATAGTTCACGCATAAACATAACTAGAACATCAAAAATGATTTTTAAAAAATATAAAACAAATGGGCACATAATCAAAACATTTAACAGATATGAATCTTTCCACCATCTATACAAACACAATTCAGGATCAAATATACTAGATTTGCCAAGAAATTTAATTTATAAAGTAAACTAATAGCACACAAAATTTTCCAACTCTTTAAATAAAATAGTAAACTATAAATCTCATTCATTAGATGTATTACATGTTGTATGTTTTTTATAATGGTGAATCCAACAGGTAGGATCAGTATTGTGCATG